ATATACATACATATATTCATTTGCTTATTTTGAATTTTTTTAACCCCTCTCCTCTAACCTTTTCCTCTGGTAGTCTCTGTTACCATTCATTATATGTGGTAAGTTAGATGTGTGCTTGTTCCCCATGTAGATTATAAGTTTCTTGGAGGCAGGGGTGCATTCATGTTCATCTTTATACATAAATTCCTGGTTGTCTACTTAATGCAAAGCTGAATTCCCTATGTCAGTTACTAAGTCAATCTAATGAATCTCCCATTTTTAGCCTTTCTCTGACATGGGGAGCTTAGCTTGTGCTTTGTCTCATCCCCCATTGTCAGCTCTATAATGTCTATACAGTAGTGTTTGAATATTTGTCAAATTTGTCACTTCCTTGACATTCTTAGTGCCACTGTCTTAGGTCTTCATCCTTCACTTGGGCTGTTAACACAGCACCTTACTGGCCTCTGTGGCTCTATTCTACAGGTGTGCTGGTAAACCAGCTTTCTGGGAAAACAGAAAAAGCCCTGATTTTGTGGTGTGTGCCAATGTTCATGGTGTAAATACCATGGTCAGTTTTAAGATACTTACGTGTGATATGAGCTGGCTCACACAATTGCTGAAAATTTAACAGTTGGCTTTCGGGAGCTAGTCCGAAGTCAGCTCCAGTACACGACTGCATGACCGATCCTTTCTCAGTCATCTTCTGTAGGGCTGCCAGAAACTCTTCTACAACACAAGGCTGAGCGAGCTCTTTCTGGGCTTTAAAACCTTGAATGGGATATATTCTGAACATTTTGGATGTTTTACCAGCCTTCCTTCAAACTGCATCCCGACCTTCCTTTGGAACCTCAGATCCTATCATTCTTTACCTTTTCTACCCAACACACACACTGTGATCTAGACATACTGAAGTCAGTGTTCCCGTTATTTCTCAGAACAGGCCATTGCATTTGCTACCTCTAAACATTCCCTTTTGGAATAGCCTTCTCCACTTGTCTGCCTGGCAGGATCCTTAATTCTGAGAACTACTTGGCGAATTGGAAGGAAATGGAGTTCTTAGAAATAAGGCCAAAGTAGCTGTTTCCTTCTTTCACTCCCCTGCACTTTGAGAGTAGTCAGGAATGAGTTTTTGCTTTTAGTAGAATGATACTTCCAGCTCATGTATAGATTGATTAATTCATTCAGCCAATAATGAGCACCTGCTGTGTGTCAGGCATTATTCAGGCTCTATGGATGTGACAGTAAACAGAGCAAAGACCTTGCCCTCATGGAGCATACATTATAGTGGATACAGACAACTGAGGTTTTCTCGTAAGTACTGTGTTTTGCTTGTTAGTTTCATAATCTCTGTGAGGGCAGTCTTACCTATGTGTACCATATAGCTAGGAGACAGTGCTGTATGCCTACATTGAGTTCAGTTCTGTGTATCTGTTTTTAACTCATAATTCTCCATTTTTTTTCACCCACAAATGTGTGGATTTCTATATAGAAGGATGTCTTAACATCTAGCATCACTTCTTTTTCCTGTCTGTTAAAGGTCTATTTTGAACAGTTTCTCATTCCATTTACTTATTTCACCCATAAATCCAAAGTTTCAGTAATACCTATAATTCCCATTGGCAATTCACATTTCATGAGCACAAATTTGTATTTGTCTGCTTCTATTAAAAATCCAGATTCACTTTATCATAACAGTATTTGTGCATCGATCTGGAGATAACCAGAGATGATAAATACTGAATATAGTCAATTTTCTTACTATTGTTATTAGTCTTGTTTTCTTGAGTTAAAGGCTATGGTTAGTAGTTGTTTTAAAATTTTTCACTTAGTATTTTCCTTTTGACTCACGGCTAAGCTTTTAGCAGTCTGCACAGTGGTCTAGAGCATGGGTTCTGCAGCTAGACTGCCTGGGTTCAGATCTCAGTGAGGTTGTACAAGCTGCATGACCTGCCTTTGCCTGTCTGTTCATCTGTGAAATGCGGAAAATGGTAGTTCCAACAGGGTTGTGTGACTATTGAATGAATTAATGTGTATAAAGTGCTTAGACACGTGATAAATTCTTAGTGAATATTACCACTCTCTTCTACTGTTGCCCTTGCTCCTTCTCATTTTCAACAGAAAGCATTTACAACAGTTCCTGGTGTAAAAAGAGACCTCAGAATATGTTAACTATGGTTGTTACTGTTCTGTTGATTAATATCTATGGTTTCGTGCAGTGTAATTAATAATCAAAGACTTTTTTTCTTTATTTTTTCCCCCAGAGTGTTACAGTGATTTTTTAAATGAAGACTTTGATGTAAAGACTTATACTTCCCAGTCTATTCATCAAGCTGTGATTGCTGAGCAACTAGCAAAACTTGCTCAAGGAATCAGTCAGTTGGATAAAGAACTACACTTACAGGTAATTCCAGTGTTTTTGGTCATACAGATTATTCAGCCCAAAGTGATAATTTATCATTTTTATAATCCTTTTATTTAATCTAAATGTATATTTACAAGAAAAAATATATATTTTTCATGGTGTGGCTTATTTTTCCAAGTATATTCACATACACATATTTACATACACTTATAGTATTATTTAAATTTATTTAAGTAATAAAAGTATTTAAAATTATTTAAATACTTACATATTTATATGTAGATAAATTTTTTTGATTCTTGTAAGAAGGCACTGGGGATTGAACCCAGGACCTTGTGCATGCTAAGCACTCGCTCTACCACTGAGCTCTATCCCAATTCCCCCCCCCCAAGTATACTTCTGAAAAACTTTCTATAAACTGCTTTTTGTTAGTTGAAAAATTAATATACCCACCTCTCCAAAACCTTTATTTATGCTTTGTTTTCATCATCTTAACTGATATGAAAAGAATATAGGTAGGCAAAAAATAGGATGTCTTTGATACAGATAATAGAAAATGGAATTGTGAAGCAGAACAGCATGAATAAGAAAAACTGGAATGTTCCCATTGGCAATTCACATTTCATGAGCACAAAATGTAACATTTGATTAAATTATAGAAAGCTGGTAAATTTATGGTGGATAGAACATAATGAGGGGAGTTAGGAGATAGATCCTAATCTCAGTTGTGCCTTTGCCTTTCATATCATGTAATGTCTTCAAGTCTTGGTTTAAAAAAAAATGTATAGAATGGGTTGGAATAAGTAAGGAGCAAGAGGAGATGGTAGTCAAAAATCTTGAACGTTCCTTCCTCTTATCTAGAATGCTGTAATTTTCAAAGAGTGGTTTTATGGTGTATTTTCTAGTGTTGCCTTTTCTTCTGAGTAGGCACTTAATACATATGTAAATGAATGAACAAATGCATGAATAAATGAACTATTTACCAGTAAATCTGGATCTGGTATTACATGACCCATGTTCACTTAAATTGTATCTTTATCAATTAAAAGAGTAGCTTAGTTAGGACTGGGATGACTTCTAAGGTCTGTTTAACTCTAAAATTCTGATTATATAATTTGAGGTCAGTATTTATTGAGACACATTTATAAGATAGTTTTAATTGTCAGGCTTTGCATTAGGCTTGGGGATAGAAAAATGAACACATTTCCTGGCTCTTCAAGGATTCACGGACCAGTGGCAGGTACAGACAGAAATAATAACAGGCAAGTGATGCCTGTTTTTAAGTACATAGTGTTTGTGGAGCAGAGAAAAATGTACTTAACCCTGCGTAGGTTTCTCAGAGGGTAGCTTTTTGCAAGAGCCACATGAAATTCTTTCTGCCTTTTTGTGATTGGTATTTTCCTTATTCTTTGCATGTAGTACCTTCTCTGAAGGAATCAATGAAAACAAAATATATTTAACATCTCTAAGTGGGGGCAAATTGTATTTATAGTAGTTTCGGATGTGAGGTAAAGGAAGTCTGAGTCCTGGTCTGAGATCTGAATGTGCTATAATTGTTTTTATGCAGAAGCAAAATTGGGATAATGCTAACCAAACCCATAAATAAAACATAATAAAATAATTTAAAATATCATTGAGCTGAGTAAAATTATAAACGATGTACCGAGGTATGTATTAGTCTGGGTTTTAGTGCAGGAAACGGAAACCACTCTAGGTGTTTTAATCAGGAAGATATTTAACACAGAGAATTGGATGGACGGCTAGTGGACGGAGGTGAAGGATCTCCCATAGATGCAACACAGAGGCCTGGAAGCTCCCACTGCTAAAGTTCAGCTTCTAGGTACCTGGTAACTCTGGAATGATCAATATGACTATCTCAACTGTCTCTAAATCCTCAGGTCTGAGGACCTTGCTTACTAGCTGAAACAGTAATGGGAAATAGCTTTCCTCTTTCTTCTCTCTTCTAAATGTCTTAGAAATTCACCCAGTTGACTGCAGGAGGAGTCGGTGAAAGTATAGGCTTTTTAAAAGTTGAAAAGCTTTTTAGGCTTTTCAACCTTTCCACAGTGTTTATTCACAAGGGACAAAGAATAGAGAATAAAAGAAAATTTGTCTTGTTAGGATGAACACGTTAATGACCATATCAGTGGACTGGAAAAAATTCAAACATCTTCTGGGTAAGAGGCATAGGAGACCAAAAATAACACACATTTTAGATGGATATGATTGAGAGACTCGATAGAATGACAGTGACATCTGAAACAGGACAAAGTGGAAGATGTAAGTGTTCCAGTGAATGAAGCTTTGCTGACAAGGAGCTTCAGTTCACAGACTAGACATGAAAATTATTCATTGCAATAAAATATACAAAATAATAAGGATTCCTGCATTATTCTAAAGATTTGCTTGATCTTTTGATGTTTCTGGGAATCTTTTGCATGTGTCCTTTAACTCTTAACATTCATTTATTTTTTTTTTGGTGTGCTTATTCACACTGCCCTAATTTTCTTAAAAATACTGGTCTTCTGCAAGGAAGAGGATTTGCTATGACATTGGGAAACTGGAAGCAGAGAGATATTCAGGATAGGTGGACACTAACTCTGCTTTACTTTCCAAATTAGAATGTGGTCTTGATAATATTAAGCTCAAGAACTAAAGGAACCTGATGTTTGAAAACATTCTTTAAAGGGAAAGCATGTATTAGCGTGGCAAGAATTCGCTGTTTTTTCAATTTTGGCACAGCTCCACCTATACATCCCACTGGGAAAGGAAGAAGCTAGTGAAAAGACTGTATCTTCTTTGGCTCTATGTCCAACTATAAGCATGTTTGTGTTCCTGCTAATAATTCATCTCAAACACACCTTTATAACCTGTATTGTTTCCTTGGGTGTTAGCATTTTCCCCCTTTATCTGTGGAGAGAGACCTTCAATTCTACATTGTAGTTAAAAAGAAAAATACCTAATACTTAGAGCAATGCTGATTATTCATTTCTTAATTTTCAGGTTGTTGCAAGACATGAAGATTTATTGGCACAAGCAACTGGGATTGAGTCTTTGGAAGGTATATTTCCATTAACTATTACAGACTATTTTAGAGCTAGTCCAGGGCTCAGAAGCTTTTCCAGTGAAGGGTCAGAAAGTAGATATTTTAGACTGCAGGTCATACTGTCTCTGTTGCAGCCATTAAAACCTCTGCTATTACAGAGTGAAAGCAGCCAGATAACATGTAAATGAATGTGTATAGCTGTGTTCCAACAAAACTTTAGTAACCCCTGAGCTAAACTATCTGTGTTTAAATCCTTGCTTTGCCACTTACCAGATGTGTGACTTTGGACAAGTTACTTAACCTTTCTAAGCCTCAGTTTCATCTATAAAGAAAGAGTATTAATGTATACTAATTTGTTAATTTAAGGATTAAGTGAGTTAACAAAATGCTTAGAACAATTCCTGGCACATATTTAGTGCTTCTATAACTGTCAGTTAATTAAAACAAGCAAACAAATCAACACCACCCAAGTAGTAGAAATAGGCTTGAATTCTTTCCTTATATTTGGCTTTCCTTAAAATTCTTTTCAGAAGTGAGAGTATAGTAGAATAATAATACATCGGGTTTTTAGTATTATGAATCCTCTTAATTTTGTTTGACTACAGCTTTCATGAATTTTTCATTCTCTTTATTAAATTAAGCTACATCTCAAATATGAAATGTTAATAGTTTACATTATCGTTTGTGTTGCGGTTACTATTAATCATTGCACATCAAGAGAAAGCTATGTGATTTTTCCCTGTTGATCAGATTCTTAGAGGAAGAGTTTCGCTTTCTGTGATACAATGTTTAATGCTTCCCCCCGTAAGTATTTCGTATGTACGCTCCAAGGTATTATTCTCAGCATGTACACAGTTTCTAAGACTTTGAAGAACATAATATTTCAGACAAATAGTTTGGTTTATTGAATATTTAGGATCGATATCAGACTATGGAAAAATTAAGAGGCTCTAAGTACTGATTAACTATTGAAAATTATTTTTTTACATCTCATAATACTTTTATGTGTTTCCGGAAGCAAATAAACAATACCCTACTTTACTGGTAATTTTTTAAAACAAATGATAAATGACTTTTTTCATTTATAGAAACCCATAAGAATGTCATGGGTTCTTTCACATTGATTCTGAGTGTATATAGGTGTAGATGAATCATCACAACAAACACTTCTCAGTGTGGTTTTCTCATATGTGTTTAGTTCTATAATATGCTTGTTTCCCCCAGGATGCTTTTCAGTTATTACAACATTTAAAATATACTGTTAGAGTTGGAATAACTATCCAGTGGATGAGTGTATATAGTATAAACGCTGACTTCTCTGAATTTCTATGATAATCTAAGAGTATTCTCCAGAATATTTGAACATAAAAAGTCAAAGTATTAATCAGTTAGTATTCATTTAGGCATGATGTGTATTTCTAAGCACTTACTGAAATATTTGAGATATGTGTCATGTATTTGAAAATGAATTATTATTCCAACTTCTACTTCAACTTCTTTTTCTCCTATATATTAAACTTTGTCATATAATTCATTTAGACATATATTTAGTAAGTCTATTTTTTTAAAATTTGCTCCCTCTTCATTTATGTTCATTTAAATTTTGGTTGAGAATTTGCTAGGTTCTAGGCAGCTATAACAATATGCAGAGTCCCTGTCCTTATGGAATTTGGAGGTGTATTTAATTAAGCCTATTTTATTAAAAAGGGAGAGCCTAACTTACTAATTTGTTTGTTCACTGAGTCAAATAGTAATCGAGAACTTGTTAGATGCCAGGCACCTATGAGCAATAGACAAAGTCACTGTCCTCATGAAATTTATGTTCTGGGTGGGGAATTAGGCCCCCCAAAAATGTACAAGTAGGAAACGTCAGATATTTGTAATTCCTAAAAGAAAAGAAAGTGGAGTCCCTTACTAGCTAGGACAGGCAGGGGATGGCTTTTTAAGATGACGTTTGAGCTGAGATTTGAATGATCGGGAAGGAGAATGTTGTAAGCTGAAGGACCAGTAAATGGAATTAGCTTGGCATGTTTGATGGGCATATAAAAAAGACCCGAATGACTGGATTTTAGTGAATGAGGGAAAGAATTATAGATGTGGTTTTTGGAAAGGAATTTTGATTTTCATTCTAAGTGCAATGGCAAACCATTGGAGGGTTTTAATTAGGTATGTTGTATGATTAATGCTGTAAAAAGTTTTCTCTGGGGGCTCTATAGGAAGGCAAGACTAGAATCCAGCATACCAAGTTAGAAACAGAGGTAGAAGTTGATGGTGCCTTGGGCTAGAGTGGTGGGTGTAAAGAGAGAGAAGTGGGTAAGTTAGAGCTAACAGGATTTGTTGATGGGAAATGAAAGGTCTGAGGGAAAAAGTCACCAAGAATGAGTCCTAAGATTTTAGTCTGAAAAATTGGATAGATGATGATATTAGTAACTGAGATGGGTTAGACTAAAGAAGATTATGATTTTGATGGGGCAGGAGTAGGGCAGAAGTTATCTTGGGTGTCTTAAATTTGTCATAAGAAAGTTCAAGGCTAGAGATCTGTGTGCGTGTATGTGTGTGTGTATAGATAGGCAGGTATAAAGAAAATCTGTATAGATATATGTACATATGTGTGTGTATAAAATCAGTATTTTATTGAACAGATTGTATGCAAAACACTGGGAATGAATGAAATCCCTAAGATTGTAGATAGAGAAGAGAAGATGGTGGAGTATCAAATCTTGGCATACTCCAGCATGGAGAGATCTAACAGAGAAGAAGTAGGAGCAGCTAATAAGATAGGAGGAAACCTAGGGAGTGTGATGACTTGGAAGCCTAGAGAAAAAATGTTTTAGGGAGGGAATAGTTTTAACATATCGTAACTCCTGAGCGTTTGAACAAGATAAAGACAGAACTAACAATAGAATTTGGCACTCTGGAGTTTTCTAGTGACCTTGGCAAGATCTGTTTTGGTGGAATATGTATGAAAGCTATTGAGAGTGGGTCGTGGAGAGAGTAAGATGTAAGGAAGTGATAATAACAAGTAAAGGCAGTTCATTCTTGGAGTTTAAGGTCAATGAACCATAAAACCAGCAGAAGTAAGGGAATCCTCGGGCCAAGAGAGGATTCTGTTGAACAGAGCCATATTAAAACATATTTGTATGCTGATAGGAATGTTTATTTTAATATTACTTCATCGAATATGTGACAACATTCTATACTTTAGAATACTGTGTTTCGAAACTACAACTATGGCAGTTGAATATAGAAACTGGGTTTTAAAGAATGGAGTTCAAAATAATTAAATTTATTACAGATTTAATTTAATCTATTATAATATTGGACAGTCTATTTTTAGGCATATAAAATGGTAAAATTTAAGCTCCATCTTCCTGAAAGTCATTTTATAATTTTGTAAACAGTTCTTCCTGTTGTGTAGATAGAGAGTGACAGCAATAAATACTTGCTGTCCATGTTTATTATTTATGTAGCATGGGGGTTAGAGAGAGGATACCAGGCAGAGACTATCTCATTTCCAGATTATTCAAGGCCTTGTAGACCAAGCTGTGGACTTCAGTTTTAATGAAGGAGTGAAGGGGAGACTGTGAAAGGGTTTTAGCAGGTGTGTTATGTAAAATTTGCACTTCCAAAGATCACTCAGCCTTTTTTTTTTTGTAATTTTATTTAGTACAATACATATTAACATGAAATTTACACCTTTAGCCATTTCAGTGGCATTAATTGCATTTACAGTGTGGTGCAACCATTACTGTCCAGTTCCAGAACTTTTTCATTACCCTAAATGGAAACCCTGTACCCATTAAACAGTTTCTCCTCATTCCTTGTCACATTTCTTTAGTGGAGCAAGGATTGGAGGGAACCACTAGTTAGAGGCTTCTACAATAGTTTAGGTAAAGATACTGGTTGCTTAGATTACAATGATGGCAGAAACAAATTGAAAAATTTCTCTATTCTTTTCTTTTAATTGTTTACCTAATTTGAACTCTTGTAAATTTATGAAGTAAAATAAACTGTTATGTTTTCCTAGGTGTTCTTCAGATGATGCAGACAAGAATTGGGGCTTTACAGGGAGCTGTTGATAGGTACTGTTGTTCATTTTATAAATAAATGAAATTTAGAAGATTTTTATCCGTTGATATTTTGAAGATGACTTTGTCACTCCTCTTTTTGTTTCTCCTTTAGGATGAAAGCAAAAATTATTGAGCCATACAATAAAATAGTAGCCCGTACTGCTCAACTAGCAAGACTTCAGGTAGGTTCCCACTGTCATTTCTTTGTACTTTTAATTCATTTTGTTTTTATAAGTGAACAAGTTTCAAAAGAATGAATTCTGAGGAAATAAGAAAATATGAGAGAAAAGGGGAAAGATACTAGAGCTTTAAAAGAAGATAATCCAGTCTAAAAAATAAATCTAAACTACTATTCAGGTGAACAATTTTCACTCTTATTGCAGTATTTCAAAATTATTTCGTTTAGTAGGAAGGGATAAATTGGGAGTTTGAGATGTACAAATCCTGACTACTATATATAAAGTAGATAAAAACCAGATTTCTTCTATGTAGCACAGGGAAGTATATTCAAAATCTTGTAGTAACCTATGAGAAAGAATATGAAAACAAATACATGTATGTATGACTGAAATGTTATGCTGTACACCAGAAATTGACACAGTCACTGAGTATACTTCAATAAAAAAATTTAAAATAAATAGGGAAGGGAAAATTATTTCTTTTAATAAAGAACAGGAAGAAAACTAACTTTCATTCTTATAGTATGCTATGATCAAAAGTAAGGAACTCAAACCTATATTTTGTTCTAATAGCAGTACTAATTCGTTATTCTGGAAATTCGGTTTTTGACTAAAATGTAATGATTTTCTAGCTTTATAAGAGAGGTACACAAAACATTTTAAAATTTAATTTTCACATAGTTTCCATGATTGTTCAAAAACTATTGCCTGTAGTTAGATATGGAGATTGTTTCAGACTTTTCACACTTACAGATACTACTGCTATGAATAGTTTTATATTTGAAGTTTTTTCTCTTTGGGTTATTTTCCTAGGAAATCTGTTAACTTTGCACACCATTTTACAAAGCAAAGTAAAAATTGCTTTTATTTTCTTCATTCCCTTTGTATGTTTTATTAATGTAATCTGAGGGTCTGATACTATCCTGTTACTTATTTTTTCCTTGTGTGTGTCTTTTATTAGTAACACTTTTCCCTTCTCGCTTGGGGATCTTATTTACCATTCTTCTGTCAACACTCTGTTCATTTCCCACTGGTTTTTTATTTCCTATTTTTTTCCTACAATCGTACTGTTTTATCCATACCCACTCCCCTGTTTTTATCTTTAATAATCTGGCTTCTAATATCCAGTGTCTGCTGTGTGACAGAGCTTTAGGAATCCTAGATTGGCCTTGTGTCTTTATTCAGTTCACTAAACCTCACCAAAACTGCGCCAGACACTGTTCTAAGGCTCTGGCTAGAGGCATTCTTCTGACTATGAAGTCTTCTCTCGAATAGCTGAGTAGGGGGAGACAGGCCAATGATTACAGTGTATTGTAACAGAGGTAGTAATTGTGGCAGTTGACACTACGGAGTGTCTACTATATGGCCAGTGCTTTACCTACATGATCTATTTATTCCTGATAGTAACCTAAAGGTTGTTTTATAGATGGAGGCATTGAAAGTTTATCATTTACCAATTTTTGTCTCATATTTAAAGTGCATTTCTTGTAGGCAGCATTTAGTTGGGTCTTGCTTTTTTTAACCAGTCTTACAAAATGTGCTTTTTGAGATGCTTAGGCATTTATATTTAATGTGCTTATTGTTATGTTTAGGTTTAAGTCTTTCATCTTCTAATTTTTTTCACTTGTCCTGATTGTTCTTTGTTTCTTCTTTTTCTGCCTTGTTTTGGGTTGACTAAGTATTCCTATGGTTCCATTTATTTCCTTTGTTTGCTTATTAGCTATAACTTGTTTTTGTATTTTCATGATTGCTCTAGGATGTATAGTACACATTTTAACTGTTGATTTTGACTGCTAGTGATATCATAGCACTTCACATGTAGTATACGAACCTCACAGTAGTATACTTTCATTTCATCCCTCCCAGCTTTTGTGCTATTATCATGCATTTTACTTTCACACGTGTTGTAAACCCCACAATATATTGTTAAAGTTTTTCTTTAAACAGTCAATTATTTTCTAAAGAGATTTAAAAAGAAAATCTTGAATATTTACCTCCACAGTTACGTGCTTTTCTTTCCTTTGATTAGACCCGTGTTTCTAGGTGATATCATTTACTTTTGCCCTAGGAACTTCTTTTTAACATCTCTTGTAGTATGGATCTGCTGTTGATGAGTTCTTTCAGCTTTTGAAATAGTCTTTATTTCATGATTTTGAATGATATTTTTGCTAGACGTAGAATTCCAGGTGAATTTTTCTTTTAGCACCTTAAGGACACTGCTCAACTGTCTTCTCATTTGCACTGTTACCTGTGAGAGATCTGTTGTATTTATCTTTGTTCATGATGTTTTTTTCTCCTCACTCTGTTCTTAAGGTTTTTACTTTATCACTGGGTTTTGAGCCATTTGATTATGATGTGCCTTGGTGTAGTTTTTGTGTGTGTGCGCGCGTGCTTACAGTTCTTTAAGCTCTTGGATCTGTGAGTTTATAATTTTTATCAGTTATGGAAAATTTATGGCCATTATTTCTCCAAATAGTTTGTCCCTCCCCTTTCCTCTCCTTTGGCGACTGCAGTTACAACTAAGGTGTCTTCAAGCTGTCCCACAGATCACCAGATACTTGCTCACTTTTTTCCTTCCAAACTGCTTTTCCCCGTGTGTTTTGTTTTGGATAATTCATATTGCTTTGTCTTAAAGTTCACTGATAATTTCTTTTGTACTGTCTAATTTGCTGCCACTCTCCTTCAGTGTATTTTTCATTTTAGACATTTTTGTTTTCATCTCCTTAAATTTGATTTGGGTCTTTCCTGAACTTTCTAATTTATCTACTCAACATTTTGAACATACGGTATACTACTAAAATAACTGTTTAAATATCTTTGCTAATTTATAGAGTATGCCAGTCATACCACAGTCCAGTTTTAGAGATGCAAAAAAATCCCTTGTTGTCTATTTGCCATTTTCTTACTCTGTTCAAGCTGCTCTAACAGAACTCCATACACTGGGTGCCTTATAAACTACAGAAACTTATTTTCACATATCAGAAGGTTGGAAGTCCAAATCAGGCTACCAGCGTGGTTGAGTCCTGGTGAGGGCTCTCTTCTGGGTTGCAGACAGGCATTTTCCTGTATCCTCACATGGCAGAGAGGGAGAGAGAGCTTTTATAAGGGCACCAGTCCCATTCACGAGGGCTTCTCTCTCATGACCTACTTCCATCCCAAAGGCTCCACTTCCTAATACCATCACATGGGGGTTAGAATTTCAACCTACGAATTTTAACATTTAGTCCATTCCAGCCATCAATCGCTGCTCCTATCCCCAGTCCTAAGGCAACTGCTCATCTATTTTTTTGTCTCTGTAAATTTGCCTTTTCTGGCCATTTCATATCAATGGACTCATAAAAGAGATACTAGTCTTTTGTGTCAGGCTTTTTTTGTGTGTGTGAAATGCCTTTAAGTTTCATCCATGTTGTAGAATGTCATTAGGAGTTTTTTTTTTTATTGCTGAATGTTGTTTTATGGACACATTTGTTTATCTGTTTACCAGTTGACAGACAATTGGATTCTTTCTAGTTATTGGTTTTTGTGAATAATGTTGCTGTGAACATTTGCTTACATGTATTTGTGTAGATCTGTGCTTTCATTTCTCTTTGTGTATTTTTTAAACTTGGTGTATTCAGAAATATTTTAAAAGTTTTACATGGCTAGTTGTATCTCATTGCTTGTCTTATTGTTAGGTAGATTAACTTTGTTGATGAAACAAAAACCTAATGTGTGCCTCAAAGTTATGCCATTATAATTAATAGTCATCTAAAGAAATCATCATTATACAGGAATTGGCAAACATATTTTGTAAGGGGTTATGTAGTAAATATTTTAGTCTTTGTGGGTTATGTGTCTGTGTTGTAAGAACTCAACTGTATTTCAATAAATTGAAGATTGGTTTTGACTTGCTCGGTGTTAACTCTTGTTCTATACATTGCAGATCTGTTTTCTTTGGAACATTCAGCTAATTAATCAACTTTGAATGTATCGTTGGACTTACTTTTTAATTGTGTATTGTGTGTGACTACCAGTGGACCCTCCTCCCTCTGGGTCTATATGGGACCATTAGAGACTGTGCTGATTGGTGTTGGGCTCCCAATTTTTCTGGTCATTATGTACATCACCAATACTAATTGGGCCTTTCTGTTTTGAGTAATACTACTATTTCTGGAATCATTTGGTTCGACATAATTTTTGTTCATTTTTCTATGTTTAAGCTTTTTCCTTTATGTTTTATAAACCATTATGTACTCAGAAGAAGAAATGAAATAGTGATATGTCTATATTAACACTTCTTAAATTAATGAAAAATTATACTTCTCATGTTCTTATAACCATCTTCTGTCTACTTCAGATTAATCTTTTCTCTTTTGAGTATCTATTTGGAATCACAGCCTTTCACAGACTCAACCTCTTCCAATTGATTTTATTTACGATACTCCTGTTGATGTTCAAATTACCAGAGTTTGAGCTGGTTTCACACTGGCTCCTTTGTTTTTTTCAGTGAGCCGCTGCCATTCTTGAGACTTTCTTTGTTTTCTGGGTGCAATGGAATATTCTAGACACATGCTGATGCTTCTTGCTAGAAGAGATAGGATCAACTAACCTTTAAGGCATCCTGGTTCCTTTTAATGAATAATGTTATAAACTAAAATTTGGGCCTAGGAGAACTTAGGAGAATGCGTGGTGTATAGAAAGTGATGCTGTTGTTAGCACCTTTTTGTGACACCCAAAGCAGAAGTTACTTCTTTTTATGCTCATTAATTCACATTTTTTTTATTGTGTTGAAAAGCACTTAACATTGTTTACCATCTTAATCATTTTTAAGTATACTGTTAACTATATGCACATTGTTATGCAAAAGATCTCCAGAAATTTTTCATCTTGCAAAACTGAAACTCTGTACCACTTAAACATTAATTTTTCCTTCCTTCCTCCCCTCTTCCCTCTTGGCAATTACCTTTCTGCTTTGTTTCTATTACTTTGACTACTTTGGATGATAATTTATACAAGTGAAATGT